TATACTACCCCAGACGTATTACAGTTGATGAACTGCTTAATTGGAATCTTGGTGATACCAGAGGAATCAGTTAGAATCTTAGACCCTTTAGCCATATACCGGCATGCCACACATCGTCCACATTGATATGTGCCCTGTACTGTAATCCAGCTCTTTTTTCTCACATTAGATGGAGAAAAGTGGCTTGGTACCAGGATCTCTTTAAGATTTTTCCCCCTCTTAGCGGTGATAGAGACTTGTGGGGAAATTATGTCTGTCAGATGCGAATCCTGTGTCAGGAGCGGCCAGAACCTTCCCAGGGTCCTTTTGGCTGTTTTCCAGCCTGCATCAAAATTCGCTATGCATCTGATGAGTTTTATAGAGAAATGTTTAGTTTTATTTTCAAGAAGAGTATCCCGATCAGATAGGAGGGCTCTTTGGTATGCCTGTTTAAGGCACCTATTTGGGTACCCCCTATCCTTAAATCTTTGTCTAAGATGAGAAGCTTTCAGCTGGAAATCCTCCAGAGAGGAACAGTTTCTCCTTAGCTTCAGGTACTGTCAAACTGGAATGCCCCTTTAAAAAGGAGGAGGATGATAGCTTTCCCATCTTAGCATATTATTTGTCGAGGTGGGTTTATGGTACAGGGTGGTATTTATCTGTAAGTCCTCAGATATCCCCAATGTGCAGTCTAGAAAGTTAAGTGATGGTGTTCCCACTTCCATGGTCAGTTTTAGATTAAGGTAATTTATATTAAGGGCCTCCACAAACTCAGTAAACAATTCTTTCGTGCCTGTCCAGATAACGAGAACGTCATCTATGTAACGTTTCCATAGATAAACGTTTTAGATGCTCAGAGTGGACAACATTCCTTTCCCACCATCACAGGTGCAGGTTGGCATAGGCTGGGGCACAAGAAGTCCCCATAGCTGTCCCCCGCACCTGGTGGTAGAATTTGTTATTAAAAAGGAAAAAATTATGGGTCAGGATAAAACGCAATAACTCAAGAACAAAAGATGTATGACATGAATGTTCTGATCCTCTTGTCTCCAAAAAAGATCTCAAATGACTTATGCCAATGGGGTGAGGTATGGATGAATATATGGCCCCCCGTGGTACTTTTAGAGACTTCAAAAAATGCAAGGTATCTTTAGTATCTTTAAGATAACAGGGTAGTTTTTCCACATATGGACGCAGAATCTTGTCTACATAGATACTTCCCCTGCTAGTGAAATTATTAGACCATGATACAATCGGTCTAGCTGTGAGTGTCTCATACTGCTTATGTACTTTGAGGAGACAGTAAAAGGTGGAAATTGTTGGATTTTCTTACAAAGATACTCCCATATTCATCCTCAGTAAGTATCCCTTGATCATATGCCCTATCTAGTAGAGATTTAAACTCCGACATAAATTTGGGTGAGGGATCCGAATTGAGTATCGCGTATGTGTTTGTATCACTGAGTATTGCCTCTGCCATTTGAACATAATGTTGTCTGTTCATTATGACAATATTTCCACCCTTGTTGGCTTGTTTGATAGTAATCTGCTCGTTATCTCTTAGATAACACAATGCCTTCCATTTTTTTTTGTTAGGTTCCCCTTAGGTTTCACTGTGAGTGTGTCTGTATCAGTTTTCTTTATCATGTTAGTAGTTGATTCTACAAACATGTCAATATTTTTAAAATCCCGAAAATTAGGGGTAAAGCTGCTTTTAGGACGGAGGTCTGTGCATGGTATAGGGGAGCTATTGTCATTACTCTCCAGGAGGGACACAAGATCTTGTAAACATTGATATTCTTTTAAGTCAAAACCTAGTTCCTTTGCTTTTTTCTCATCTCTCACCTTAAAAAACTTATGAAGAGCAAGCCTTCTCCCAAAAAGATTGATGTCTTTTATCCATTCAAAGTGATTGAATGGGGGAGTTGGTTCAAACGATAGGCCCCTCCTAAGTACCTGACTCTGTATTTTGGTGAGAATGATATCTTAAAGGTTGATTAGTCTTGTGTCACCCCCTAGTTCCACCTGCGGGCTCTCCCCCTGTTGCGTGTTTGTCTGTGCTGAGTCTGCGTGTCCCCCTCCCGGAGGTTCTGCCCTAAAAAAGAAACACCTTTCTTGAGGATTCCTTTTGTTGCTTGGGTATTGCGATTTATATGAGGGCCTGGGGTCTGTTCATTGTCAGTATCGGAGGTCTCATATTCAGACGTACAGTAGTCTACTCTAGTGGTCTTTTTAAACCATCTGTAATCATCATTAACCCTAAGAAATTTACTATGCTTGCGACTCTTGATGGTACTTTGGTATTTGGTAAGATTTTGTTGTAACCTTTGTTCTTGTGTTTGAAAAGAGGGATCTTCTTTGCAACTTTCAATAGCTTCAACTGCTGTCTTCACTTTTTCATCTATCAGTTTTAGTCTATTGGACTCAAATTTGCATAGGATCTCCATATATTTCTTAGAGCATACATTGGATGCCTCATCCCACTCTTGCAGGAGGGCGGTGTCATCCATTTGTGTATTAGGGGTAGTGTGAATCCTTAGACCTCTAGGAATCATTGATTTACTCAAGTATTTTTGTAATGATGTTACTTTCCATCCTATTCTAATCTGCTGTTTGCATAGGTTTGATAAGGTTCTAAATTTATAATTGATGTTATCCTGTTCATGCAGATAAACAGTATCCTTATCAGAGAATACTGTTTCAATGTCTGTACACCATGAGTTGGAATCCTTCAATTGGGACAGAAAACTAGCCAACATTTTAAAGCAACATACACTTTTACAAACCAAATAAAATATATATATATATATATATATATATATATATATATATATATATATATATATATATATCTATATCGACACACTTATGGTATTGAAACCTCTATATAGTAGAACTAGACAAAAAAATGAAGAATGCCCCTCTAGATAGGGGGGCTAGAGTGCATCTTGAGGATATCTTAATAGGGGGTAACCCTTAACTAACCCAAAAGAAAGAAAGATGTGAACCAAAGACAAAGTCAGAGGGACACATAGTAGAATCCTCAAAATTATAGGAATAAAAACACATTTATTAAATAACCTAAAAATACACAAAAACACAAAAATAAACACTCCACATCTAAATAAATGGGGAGAGCGACGGGGTACCATTATTCTGGGGGGTGGGGGGATGGGGGTGGGATAGGAAGGAAGGAATAGATCTATGGAGAGGACTGCATGAAGAGATGATTATAAGATAAGTAAGTAGGTGTCACCAAATATAATTAAACTCTAAATCCAACACTCCACCTTAAGAAATAAGTGGTAATAGAATTTGAAGTAAGCCCATTAGTACTTGCAATAGATGATGTCTATAATCTATGTCACAATGTGCGGTCTCCCTAGTAGCTTCTAGTGGATACATATCGCTCTCACCATTTATTTAAATGTGGAGTGTTTATTTTTGTGTTTTTGTGTATTTTTAGGTTATTTAATAAATGTGTTTTTATTCTTATAATTTTGAGAAAAATCAAATATAAATAAATAAATATATATATATATCATGACTGGTTAGCGCAGTGGTTCAAATCCCGGTCAGATCACGTCACCAGTAAGAGTCCCTGGACAAGACACCTAACAATATGCACCAGCCCAATAATATGAGAGTACCACAAACCAAGAGAGTTATGCCGGCTTGGACGTCGCTCGGATTAACAAGGTCCTCTGCTGACTCAATAGAATTGTGTATATTTACATAATGCTGGTATGCAAACCAAATAAGTAGTTAAATGTATATATTGTTGCTTTTTACTGTATTTGAAAATATTACTTGTATTATATATTTCATGTATTGATTATAATTACTCGTTTTCCAATGTTCTGTATATTTGTATTTTTAATGTTTTTCACCTCATGATTAAGGACAAGCCACCAAAGGCTTCTTCTTATCCAACATAAAGTATTGTGTGTTACTTCCATTGGTAGCTGTGTGTCCTGTATGGTTTGTTCAAGTATGCCAGTAGCACGGTTTCGGACCTGTTGGCTGATTGCAGTGGTCCCTGATTCTAGGGACAAGTTATAAAAAAGCTAGGCCTGAGAGCCACACATACCTTTGTAAAGGCAGTATATGTAGACAGTGTAGGCAGAGCTGTTGATACCTTCCTGGGAGAGGAACAGAAGAGACAAATGCCGAGGGGACGATACCTACCTGGAAGGAAAGAGCTGTAGCCTAGTGTGGTAGAAGTGGTCCTCAGAGACACTAGTCAAGCTTTGGTGACTGGGTCTCAAGCTCGTTAGAATCCCTGGTGGCACAGAGGAAGCTAAACTAGTGGAGGTACTCTGTTGGAGCACAGGAGCTTCATCACAAAGCATAAGTGTGAACTATAGATGAAGAAGAGACCTTCATCTACACCAGGCACAGGCAACCTTCGGCACTCCAGATATTTTGGACTACACCTCACTTGATGCTTTTCCAGCATTATGGGTGTAAGAGCATTATGAGGAATGTAGTCCACAACAACTGGAATGCCGAAGGTTGCCTATCCCTGATCTACACTAACACCAAAATAGTTAATTGCACAATGTTTGAACATTGTCAAGAGGAAGCTAGTGTCACAACTGGAATTAGATGAACTACACAAAACATCATACATGAGCCATGCAGTTGTCCTCCAAATGTCACCGGCCTTCCCAAACATGGAAGGTCCTGTCAGTCATAATAGCCTCCATGATCAATGGGCAAATGAGCAATAATCAAAAGGGGATTGGAAATAATACCAGAGGATCAAAACACCAACTGCTGGTAGTCATAGGGGATTCTGAGACCAGACAGACCAATCTATGCACAGCCTGGATTGACTACAAGAAAGCCTGTGACACAATACCACACACATGAATTCTGGCATTATTGGCTTTATACAAGGTCGACAAAACACCAGAGCCTTCATCAAGAACTCGATAGGCAAGTGGAAAACAACTATAGAAGTCAATTCAAGGAAAATAACACAAGTGAGCATCAAATGTGGCACATACCATGGTGATGCACAATTTCCAATGGTGTTCTACATAGACTTCAACCTCCTTAGCCAGATCATCATGGAGTCGATACGAATGCAGGTTCTAGAGTGGAGCTACCACCAGTCACCTACTCTACATGGATGACATCAAGCTGTCTGTCAAGAGTGAGCGGGATATTGACTCACTGATTCACCTGTGATAACAGTAAGTGATTCACACCAGACATCCCAAGAATATTGCTGAACTGAAACAGTTCTGTAAAGAGGAATGGTCAAGAATTACTCCTGACCGTTGTGCACGTCTGATCTGCAACTACAGAAAACGTTTGGTTGAAGTTATTGCTGCCAGAGAAAGTTCAACCAGTTATTAAATCCAAGGGTTCACATACTTTTTCCACCTGCACTATGAATGTTTACATGGTGTGTTCAATAAAAACATGGCAACATTTCATTCTTGTGTATTAGTTTAAGCAGACTGTGATTGTCTATTGTTGTGACTTAGATGATGATCAGATCACATTTTATGACCAATTTGTGCAGAAATCCATATCATTCCAAAGGGTTCTTGCAACTGTATGTCAGATAACTAATATAATGTAAGACATGCAGTTCATGACTAGTCAAATAAAAAAAAACAATAGAATACAAAGACATAAATTGGATGGAAATTACAATGTAAAATGAAGCATAACCAATAAACATTAAAATACAAATGGCAGTTATAAGAAAAAGCATAGGGAAAAGAAAGGTGACAGAAAGGTTACCAAAATAGCCCCCAATATTACAGCTTGTAAGGAAACCTTTTTACAGAAAGCATTGAGATTAAATAGATTTTCTAATTGCTAGTCCAAATACACCTTTATTTGCTGTAGTTTTCTATATTTGTATTATCCGAGAACTGCATGCTGTATAATTGTCTACTTATAGTTCTAGGAACTCCAGACACACAAAGCAGTTCAGCTGGAGTCTGTCAAATTTGTGACAGTTTTCAACAGAATTGGCACTTTTATTATTGGGGGCAGAATCACCAGTGTGAGCATCAACAGAGGCGGCTCTCAAATTGGGCCTCCGGTCCGCAACTCTGCCGGGTACATATGTGAAGTAGGTGTCAGCGAGTTACGGCCAATCAAAGCATTGTAGCAGGTTACCACGGCAATGCTCTGACACTTCAAGTGCTGGAACTCACAAGACATGGTCCAGGCATAGCTGTAGACTGGATAGCTAGCCCACTAGACAACTAGGGAGTGAGCTATTGGACCACTAAGAAATTGATTACTGCACACCTTCCGCACAAGCTGAAGCCTTCCCCACACAATATCACCACCACACACTGTCCCCTCCCACACACTGTTACCAACCACACACTGTCACCTCACACACTGTCTCCTCCCACACACTGTTACCAACCACACACTGTCACCTCCCACACAGTCACTCTCCCACACACTGTCACCTTTCCACACACTGTCACTCTACCACATACTTTCACCCACCCACACACTGTCACTCTAATACACACTGTCACCCCTCCACACACTGTCACTCCCCCACACTGACATCCTCGCACACGCAATGTCACCTTTCCTCAAAATGTCACCACACCAACACTGTCACCCCCAAGCAATCTCACTCCCCCTTCACCCTGCTACACTCACACTCCTAATCCTATCACACGTATCTCCCCTAAACTTGTCACACTCCCTACTCCAACCATGTCACCCATCAACCCTCCCTTACAGTGCCACACACATCCCCCAACCCTGTCTCATTTATCCCTTTGCTCTGTCACACTTACCCTGCCACAGTTATCCCATTACTCACCCTGACATAGTCACCTCCAGAAGACAGTCATCATCACACAGTCATGAAACATAACTTCGCCATGAACACAATGCACAAAGACCACAGGCAGCTCCCTATACACATAACACACTGAAAGCAGCTACCCCACAGTCCCAGACACACAAACATACACATGCCCACAGAGATATACATTCATACACCAGGATTCTCTCTATCAGACACATACTCTCAGGCACATACACAGGTAGACAATACCAGACACACTCGGAACTACACAGCCAGATACACATTATGACTTCATATCTGTATTTGTCAATGTATGTGCGTCTATGCATCAGTGTGTTTGTATGTGTATGCAAGTGCGTGTATCAGAGATCCCTTTTATAGCTTTACCACGCTATGACATCTCTCGAATTTGATTCCTCATCATTTCATGGGAGCAACTGTGTAATGGTATACTTTTATTTGAAATACATTGTGCACTAAGAAATATTGGAGATTTTTAATTTTCCTTTAAAGTAACAAACAAAATGTTTTACTCTTTAGAAATTTGCTACCGTAATAGTTAATTACAGCAACTCTAAATCACAAGTAAAATTATGATTTTTGTGGACTGTGTTTGAGCAATGTTCGAGTACCTTATTAATAGAGAATTTTGCAGTTTTGTCCTCAATATGCTGATTACATAATTTAGAAAGATAAGGTTACAATATTGCAACAGACTTTATAAAACAGATTTACATTCTTGTTCAAGAGAAAAAAATAAGTGTTTTTCTACTATCTGTCTGGATAAGTTATCACTTGCTGCACACTTCAATACACGTTACAGGAATACACATAAAATTCACTGAAATAAGAAATGACCAGAAAGTCTATGAGATCACTGCTGCTTAAATGTATCAGGGTTATTTAAGAGAGTGCTTTAAGTGAGACTTCAAAATATGAGCTGGACGGCTAAAGTAGTTTTTAAAAAAGTAGGTGTAAGATCAAACCCCCTTTAATCATATTGAAATGTGTTCTGTAAATGGAATAAATGCAACTAGTGTGGATCTAGCAATTGACCTTTTTATACTTAGCTCTGGTGTAAATACAGAGTCAGCTCTACATTATTCATTTAATGGGTTAAATTTACTAGCTGACGTTAAAAGCAGTAAGAACATATCCTGATGCTATTTACTACTGCAGCTCGTGGTCTGACATAAATCACCAGTTCTAGTGTATGCAGATAAAACTGATACTGTTTGCAAACCAAAACACAGATATATTAGAGGTTATGATAAAGAAATCATGACAAAACAAACTCAAAATCAGGCTCCCCCCTCCTCCGGAGATTACCCACCACAGCCTCTCATTGATCTAGATTCCTTTGTTCAAGGATCAAAGGTGAGAACAAGGGAAGTGACAAGTAAGAGAAACGCTATTATTCTATCGTTGTTAGTGTTATGTAGGATTTGGAAAGCAAGCATAATATAATCAGCCTAAACAATAAACGAGGGGAACAGAAGGACATAGGTGGGCTGCAGGATTCCCTTAATCAACCAAGCCCGGTGAGAGTTAGAGAGGCATTAGTTTGGAGAAGCATTGTGTTGGTTTTAAGATAGGATTGAATCTCCCTCCAAAATTGTTAGATATAAAGGCAGTCCCACAGGCAATGGGATGGGTCTTTTTTTGATGGGTACACTTAAAATAAGTTGGATTTCCTTCCTGCCCATGAGATAGAGGCTGCGTTGGGTGGAAAGAGTGTGATTGGTTGTTACCAGGATCATGTCCTTGTATGAAACAATGGGAAATAATTGGGTTTGGAAAAAGTGAGTGGTGGCCAGGATATTTTCTGGGCTGATGTCTGGAAAGTGTGACAACCAGTTACACACTTCTGTTTTTATTGAGGTACAATCAGCAGATTATAGCATACAGTTTAGAGTAAGAAGCAGATGCCATCATGCGTAAGAGGATATCGATTTCATGCTAGGGAGAGGAAATAATGGTTATCTGAAAATAAGTAAACCATGATAGAAAGGCTTGCAAATACTCAATGATATTCAAATTGGAGCAAAATTGTGAAGTAAAATCCACAAATGGGTGTAAGGCTATGATTCCCTGTGTAGGCAAAAAGTAAATGGGTACATGTAGTCCCATCTAATCTGGGTGTTTTAGCAATGGAATATCAAACGATTTAAGAGGATGGACGTCACGGCAAGGTTGCATAATTCGTTATTGCACTATGGAATATTGTCCTTTAATGTAATTTGTGTAGTGCATTAATGACCTGCCTGCCTGGTAGAGATGGTATTGTCAATGTAAAAAGGGGTTAATAGAGTCAGAAGGTTTTTTTTTTTTAAGCCTCAATTCTCTTTGAAGCTGAGGTCAGATGACAGAAGCAGTAATGGAAATTGCATAGGAATGGGAAAAAGGTTTTACCGTATTAATGGAGCTTGTGAAAGCTGAGGTCAGATGACAGAAGGGGTAATGGAATTTGCACAGGAATGGGAAAAGGGTTTTACCATATGGATGGAGCCTGTGAATTAATCAAAGGCTCTATAAGGTGTGAGATGTCGCACATAAGTAGCCTGAATGTCTCTTCAGCCATATGGCCTCTACCTTTTAATTGATGAGTGGATTTCTTTCATATGTTAATGGCCATTAGCCTTGTTCCAGTATCATATCCAAAGGAAAAAACATTAATATTTACCCACAGAATAATAATTAAGTCTCATTTTTGTTATATTTGGAATGTGACAAGCGCTATCTTCTAAACAAGCCAAAACATGAGTGGCATAACTTGACCATAGGGGAAGGAATTGTGATGTCCGCCATATTGGGTCACAAGTACGGCTTGAAACATTTATAGAATGGGAAAATAATAAATTTATAGATGCAATTATTATTTCTGTGGCAGGTACAATGTTTCCATTTGGATTGATGTGGATCTGGACACAAGGAGGTGGTCCCTTAGTGTCTCTATAGATACGCCTTAACTCCACCTCTGGGTGAGGCGTGGTAATCCAGAGGGTATAGCTCTAATGAGACTGAAGTGTGCATTATACTTGCTTGGGGCCAAAATCTAATTTTGAGTAAGTTACCATCTTCTTTGTTGGAGATCCCCTGGGCAGACGTTTTACTTTGAAGTGAGTAAGTGTTTAGGACTTCTGTTATTTTATCCCTTTTGGTTTTATTTGTTGTTGGTGTAAATAACGAGTTTTTTCATCTATTTTTGTATGCACTGTGACTATTTTTTTTGCTCATAATAAATATTCCTTTAATAAGTTCTGCCTTTGTCTGGTTAAGAATCACATTACCTGAAGAGACTAATTAGTATTTTGCAATTGCTTATTTATTGTGCTAAGTTGTAGTTGGTGGGTTTTATTATAGATTTACCTGGGGGACCAAGGCACCCCATTTATAAATTGTCTTGGTGGTGGGAGCGTTAAAATAGTGAT